GACTGTTCTGTCTGTTGCTTGATCCAACGCTTTGGCTCAGTATGACGCAGACTCAACAACAGCTTGATGGCTTGCTTCAGCAGTGGCAGTAGTACACACATTTATGGTTCCTAAGCAGTAAATCTAAGGCTCTAGCCACATTGCAAATGCAATAATATCAGATTTTATTTTCAAATAGATTGTAAAATGAGTGCACTCTGTCTTGACACTGGATTGGCCGAGGCTTTTGTACAGAAATTCTTCATCCACGGATGATGACTCTGACTTTGGTGACCCATTGGTATTTACTCCAGTGACATCATGAGGCTGACATTTGTGCTTTAAGGTGAAACACTACAGGAAAAACACATTTTATTCATGTACAGGTCACTTTTGCGTTTTTGCGCTATTTTGCAAACGTAATTCAATTCAATTTTACTTGCTCGCATAAAGACTGAATTTTCCTTAGTAAATAAAAAGGTCATGCTTTTTATCATAAACAAATATTTAATTCTATGCAATATAGTGGAAAATACCACAAAGCAGATGAAATACACACTGAGAAATAGAGTTCTTTTTCTGTTTCACACAAGAGAAAAGATGATGTGAAGCAACACAGTATATGTGTGTAATATTTGTTAAAGATTCATAAATTGTCATAAATTGCTCAAAAATGACCTATAGATACATCCCTACTCAAGCGTAAAGTCTGTTACTAGACAGAACCCCAGCTGAATTAACAAGGGAGAGTAAAAGCTTCCCTTTATTCTTGTTGTGTTTACCTAGGAAGATTTGGACAAGTCCCACATGTGACTTATCGTGATCTGGTCACCCTTTGTGCATGTCTGTTCTACTCAGCAGCCATACCTTACAGGGAATGAAAAAATCTTTTAAATTTGTTATTGTTGCAATGGCGTTCTCTTGACGAAACCCAGTATCTGCAGTGCACGGTCTCCTCACACACACACTTAACGTTTTTGAAATATCTACAAAAAAATGTCCAGTTCACCAGCGGATTGATGTCCTAAAGATTTATTTCAGTCCTTAATGTTGGAGTCCCAGATGTTGACACATGGCAGTATTGCATTGTAAAGGTGTTACGTGGACTCCGCTGCTTTTTATGGCACATTTAAACGTGTCAGCCTGTCACGAGGAATGGTGTAATCAGACAGGTTGGGATGTCCGGACACCACACAGCAGCCCAGGGCACTGCGGAAAACCCTCATGTGACGCGCATTAAACCACCGGTTGGTTAAAGCGTCGTAGCATTCAACGTTGAAAGTGGTGGTGAAGCCGTTGAAGCCCCCGACAGCAAAGAGGCGATCATTGATTACCTCAATGCCAAAGTTGCTGCGGCGGGTCAACATAGAGGAGACGAGGTTCCACGTATTGGTTTGCGGGTTGTAAGCCTCAGCGGTGCGCAGACGGTTGTTTCCATCGAAGCCACCAACCTAA